GATATCAAAAAAGTACTCCAGAGTGTTGTTCAGCATGGGGGTGAGTAGAAAATGAAGGCTAATCATGTTTTGGGTGTACTATTCCTTTAATTAGTCTTTTTCTAGATTTATGCTTCTGTTGCCACAACTCATTAAATCTAAAAGAAACAGCCTCAGCTTCCATCTCTGCATGTGGGTCCTCTAAAAACCTCCAAACAACCTGAGACTGACCCCGTTTCTGTCACCTCTTAAATGTCTAGAAAAGAAGCTGGAAATGTATTCCCCTCCTCTATCTCCATACTGGGGATTTAACAACACTGACTGTGTGTCAGATTCTGTTAAATTTTATGACGCATTAATAAAATGTTTTTGATAGCCACTCATATTTACACAGTTCAGTTCAGCTTATGTTGACATCAGGCTGAGCTACTTTCTTTAGCTACGTCTTAGATGGAGGTAGAGGTGGATGGAGTACCCCAAATTTTTTATTTAAGAAAAAGTGAAAAAGTAGTTGGTAAATTTTAATGTTTAAGGTTATATAGGCAAGCAGTTATATGCAAATTCTGGTATTTCAAGATATGAAAAAAAAATACAGATGAATAACAGGATTACAAAAATAAATCTGTAAAACGTGTACATTTTTACACATTTTTACACACTGTACTGTCAAATGATCTCTGAATAGCTGAAGTTACTCATGGTGGATAGAGTGACCAGAAATTTTACCATATCCTCACCAGAAAATAAATGCTAAATAAAAGTAAAAAGTATATTAAAGTAAAGAAAAAAAATATTTTTTTTACTAAATTTGACACAAGGGGTGTCAGAAAACAATGTGTTTCTCAAATAGTTCACAAATGCCTTGTTTGTGTCACAGTCTTGGTTCTGTTATGTTTAACTCAGTTTAACCGTGCTCCTTGTTTTATTGGTTCAATATCTATTTTATTTTGTTTTCTGGTTATATTTAAGTTCTTAGGTTTTTATTTGTTGCCCTCTGTTGCCCTCTTGTACTGGTCTTCTTTTCCCTAGCTCCTTTCCAGACTCCTCTCTTCACACCTGCTCCCAATCTGCTCATTAGTCCTCTCTTTTTTTCAGTCTCCCATAAATACTCTCCTTGTGCAGTTCCTCGGTGCTGATTCCTTGTCTAACTCAATCATACTTTGTCTTATCTTGTCTTTATTGTTTTCTTCTGATGTCTCAATAGTTCTGGTTTGTTTAACTTTTCTCATGTTGGATTTTTTTTTGAATATTTGGATTCCTGCCTCAGTTGTTTGTGAACCACTCATTAAATCTACAAAAAAACTCACCTCTGCCTCCCTGCCACTGCATTTGGGTCTTCAAACCTCAACCAAACCCTGACAGTTTGATTACTGGATATATATTTGCATATCAGACATAGAAAGGAGATTAGATTTGTTAATCTATATTGAAAATCAGTTTTATTCGTCAAACCTAATAAACAGTCTGTCAAGCTTCAGCTCTGCGCACACCTTTTCACTGATCACTTAAAGTTGTGCCTTCAAATGCTTCTGTACCTTCAAATAAACTTATACAGATAGGATCTTTTTTTGTGTGTGTTTGTAGAAACAGTGTATTACTCTTTCTTAATTAAACTCTCCATGAAAATCTTTGGTCAAGCTTATATTTCAGACATTCCAATAATCCTGTTTTATTGTTTCTTCTTCCTAAATGGGTCACATCTCCCTGCATTATGCTGCTGTTTTTCCAACTTATCCCCTTTCCTGCTTCTTCCTCGAGTTATTTTTTCTCCTGCAGTATTTTTGCCTCTATAAAACCTTTTCCATTTGTTCCTCAACCCCATTTCTGCTATTCTCTCTCAATACTACAGTACTTGTGTTCTCTGATTTATTGATATGTTTTATAAAGAGCTTATATTAGTCTGATGAACTCCAACCCTTTGTATAACATGGGGCCAACTCTTCTGCAGGAGGCCCTTCTACCTCTGGCCCTGGCTACTTTCAACATAGCCTACTGGAAACAATGACCTAACATCTGACCCTTTAAGAGCGCAAACAGCGGCCGCATGTAATCTGCACAGGCTCAGAACAAGTTATCTCTGTTTCCTTCAATGTGATATGATTTAAAAGAATCCAGTTTGGTTTGTTTTTGCATCAAAACTTTTATAAGTTAATCAGCAATAATATGCAGAATACACTGTTGATATATTTCTTCCCATAAACATATGAAGCAAATAAATACATGTCAACAGTCAGAGATGGTTGAAAGGCTAGCTTTAGCTAATGGAGTTAGAGCTCAAGGAGCGTAATACGTTTTAGCATTTGAAGTTGCATTTAAAGCTTTGCAAAAATAGCATTTTCTTTGTAAAATCTTCTTGAAACTGGACCCAGATTGTTTTACAAACTGAAATGAACTTCAAACTCAAACACAGTGAGTCTATCGAGTTTTTTCTGCTTTCTCACAGATACTTTTCTGATGAGCGTCGCAGGACATATCGCTCCAGGACTTTAATCCATCAGATCCTTCTTTCAGTCCCATCCTCACACAGTCAGCTTGTTTCAGGATGTACTTACTCCAGTTGTCTGGTTGGCCATCAGTCCAGAAGCTCAAACTAAGTAAGGAACAAAAGAAACACAAAGTTAAAGCAACTATTTTCAGTTCAATTTCTAAATATTAATCAAACATTAGTTGTTATCGAAAGCAAACCTCGTGTTCAGTGGAGATCCATCCACCCACAACCATCTGCCTTCTTCCTCTGAGTCTGTCAGTCCGATCCAGAACTTGTCCTCATTGTTCTTCATCATATGTACCAGTTTTTCTTCAATGAATATCTGAACAAGAAAAGCTGTTAGAAATCACTCCATGAAATCTGAGCACAAAAAGATTACTATCATGACTTTGTCAGACT